CTTTGCTCCCTACTGTCTGTGATCCCCCTGACACTCTGGTTCCTTGGATCTCCCTTTCATGGTTCTCTGTCAGAATACCAGGGCTTTAATTTGCCTACTCTCTGCTACGCACTTCTCATGATTGCATCTGCTTCCAGGGTCAAGTATTGGGAGGACAGAGGGAGACAAAATAAGCAGTAGAGATTTGCCTCACACTCTTGAAGCTACAGCTTCTCTGGTCAGAGAAAAGAATTCACAGCCCTCGAGAGTTTTAGTTACCTGCCCAACTTCTACCTCTGTTGCCGGAGGTTAGAGAGAAAAAAATAAAAAGTAGGAGATTCCCCTATTTTCTCTGAACCTTTGACTTTCCTTTTTCTGTTCTTTGGATCAGAAAGTGAGTTGAAGTTCTTCTGTTCCTACCTGGTGTGTACTTTCATGTTTCAAGCTGCTCTTGAGTCTAGACCAGGTAATCTCTGAGGGGGAAAAATGGGACACTCACTACTGGCCTGTGGTAGTTTAAATCCTGGTCTCTCCTGGTGTGCTCATTATCATTTACTTTCAAAGTTTCTAGGAAGCTGCTCCGTGCATTCTATCTAGAGTTTATATTTGTATGCAGTGGGGAGACAAGATTGCCCAGAACTAGAACTCTAAGATTGACATTTTTTTCTTTCTTTCTTTTTTTTTTTTTTAATCTTCATGACATTCAGATGATTTACATTTTTTTAAAACATTTGTTATACAATTTCTATTCATTGAGGAAATTTAGAAGATGCAAATAATTTTAAAAGGGAAAAAAATCACAAGATAAATGATTTGAAATTCATACATTGAGAGTATAGAATAAAATACTATGATTACTTTTTTCCCAAGAGAAAAGGGAAAGAGAAGCCCTGGGGAGAGGTGTATACATGGCATAGCAGTGGAGAACTGAGGACTTTTGTATTTCTTACTTAGGGGTTTATGCATGGATTGGAATCAACTTCGTTTTGGGAAGATTCGACCATGAGGATGGTGAGTAATATTGTCTTCTTATGACAATTTACCTAAGGGCTGAAGGTTTAAGTCATAACTTATCAGTAGCATGTAAATGCGATTTTTAAGTTGTTTTTCTTTTTTCAAACATAAGGTGCTTCATTTTCCAGTCCAAATTTGCTTTGTTTTATTTCTTTTTATATGGAAAGTTTAAACATTCTTAAAAGTAGAATAAATAATTTTTAAAAACCTTTGATACATCAAGGGAGATGGGGGAGAAATGACAAAATGTTAGTAAATGTTGAGTCTGGGTAATGGGTTCAAGAGTATTCATTTTTTCTTTTTTTCTCATTGAATTTTTAAAAAAGCAAACCCCAGACATGTAATTTTTATTTTCATGCATGTCAGTATATATCTATAACAGATGAGGAGTTTCAAAAACAAAAAATCCATAATGCCATTTTTAAGCTTAACAGAATTAACCATTTCTAATATTATACAGTACCCATCCTAATACCCAACCCAGGTAGAGATTTTCTTGATTTTCTGAAGAATGTTTATTTGTGGTGGGCTTGTTCAAATCAGAATCTGAACAAGGGTCATGGATTGCATTGTTGATACGTCTCTTTTTCTTTTTCTTTCTTTTTTTTTTTTTTGAGATGGAGTTTTGCTCTTGTTACCCAGGCTGGAGTGCAATGGCACGATCTCAGCTCACCGCAACCTCCACCTCCTGGGTTCAAGCAATTCTCCTGCCTCAGCCTCCCAAGTAGCAGGGACTACAGGCACGCGCCACCATGCCCAGCTAATTTTTGTATTTTTAGTACAGATGGGGTTTCACCTTGTTGACCAGGATGGTCTTGATCTCTTGACCTTGTGATCCACCCGCCTCGGCCTCCCAAAGTGCTGGGATTATAGGCATGAGCCATTGCACCTGGCCAATACGTCTCTTTAGTCTCTTTTAATATATGATGGTTAATCTTACCACTTCACTCCCTTGCCTTTTGAAGCAAGAAAAAATGGAATCACCTGGTAGAATTTGCCACATGCTGGATTTGATTGACTGCATCTTTGTGGGTTCACCTGTTTTTTTAAACATGTTTCTTATCTCCTCATATGTCCTTTAAACTGGAGGTCAGATATAGATGTTTGATTAGACTCAGATTCAATTCCATCTTTAAGACTAAGTCATAGAAAGTGCTGTGTGCTTCCCACTATTCACATCAGGAGTTTTGTAATGGCTGGTTGACTCACTTTTTGTTGTGCTCAGACTGATCAGGTATTGAGGGTTCAGGTATTATCAGCCTGATCTAATTTAGTATTAAAATTCCTTATCTGCCTTTCACAGAATGGTTGTAATAACCAACTGTGATCATTGCTTAGATATGTTTTTTCATTAGCGATTGCAGAATGGTGATACTTCTAATTCTGTCATTCCTTATGCATTTAACAGCTAGAATTTTTGTATAATGAACTTTTCTTGATCAACTCTTTGGATATACTGACATGTAGTTCTTACGGGAAAGACAGAATAAATCCTTGATTCTTTTTCTTTATGTATCACATTTCTGAATAATGAGTTGGTGACTGAGTAACTTCCACAGGTAACCAGTGGGAAAAATGTTTTTTCTTTTGTGTGTTTGTGTGTGTGGTTTTTGTTGTTGCTGTTGTTGTTGTTGTTTTTGAGATGGAGTCTTGCTCTGTTGCCCAGGCTGGAGTGCAGTGGCGCGATCTCAACTGTGAAATCTCAGCTCACTGCAACCTCCGACTTCTGGGTTCAAGTGATTCTCCTGCCTCAATTTCCTGAATAGCTGGGATTACAGGTGCCCTCTACCCCTGCTGGCTAATTTTTGTATTTTTTAGTAGAGACAAGGTTTCACCATGTTGCTCGGGCTGGTCTCAAACTTCTGACCTCGTGATCCACCCACCTCAGCCTCCCAAAGTGCTAGGATTACAGTTGTGAGCCACTGTACCCAGGAAAAAAAGTTTTAATTATTTTTATGAACTCATGGATTTTAACATATTAGATGGATTAAAGGCTCATCACATCATTACTAGGAGCATCTTTAAGTTGGCTCCTGTATCTTTTTTTTTTTTTTTTTTTTTGAGACAGTCTCACCCTGTCACCCAGGCTGGAGTGCAGTGGTACAGTCTCAGCTCACTGCAACCTCTGTCTCCCATGTTCAAGTGATTCTCCTGTCTCAGCCTCCCGAGTAGCCAGGATTATGGGCACCCGCCACTATGCCCAGCTGATTTTTGGTATTTTTAGTAAAGATGGGGTTTCACCATGTTGGCCAGGCTGGTCTTGAACTTATGACCTCAGATGATCCACCCACCTCAGCCTCCCAAAGTGCTGGGATTACACGGGTGAGCCACCGCACCCGGACTTGGTTTATTTTAGTAGAAGATGGTATTTAGAAATCATTGGTCCAGATACCCTGGTGCTCATTATTCCTGGGATATCATTGCTTCTAGGCCTTTCAGTGAGCAGAGCTAGGAAATATGTATTTTTTAGAAAGAGAAAAATAAATCATGAGTTTATAGTCATATTTCTGACTCACGTTTAAGATTATAGGGTTGTTACTTAATTTATTTGATTTTTATACCTATATCCTTTTTTTTCCTGTTATGCTGAATCTTTATTCCCAAAGATATTGACATAAACATATATTTGTTTTATTCCACAATATATTTCATTATTTTTCAATAATAAAACCAGTCCAGATGTGGTGGCTCATGCCTGTAATCCCAGCACTTTGGGAGGCCAAAGCAGGTTGATCGCCAAGTCAGTAGTTCGAGACCATCTTGGCCAACATGGTGAAACCCCGTCCCTACTAAAAATATAAAAACTGGGTGTGGTGGCACGTGCCTGTAATCCCAGCTGCTTGAGAGACTAAGGCAGGAGAATCACTTGAACCCAGGAGTTGGAGGTTGCACTGAGCCGAGATCACGCCACTGCACTCCAGCCTGGAGACAGCAAGGCTTTGTCTCAAAATATAGTAGTAGTAATAATAATAAAACCAACAATATTGTTAACAAATGAGACTACTGGAATGTAGCTTAAGATATTTGTTTCTTTTGTCCTTAGGCTGTATCCCACTAGGAATATGTAGTCAAAAATGTCATGTTTAAGTAATTTGCAAGAATTACTCTTTGTGCAATATACAGTTGATTCAGTTAGTATATTTGTTTGCTTTCTTTTTTTAATCTTGAGACAGGTTCTCTGTCACCAAGGCTAGAGTTTAGTGGCATAATAATAGCTCACTGCAGCCTTAAACTCCTGGGTTCAAATGATCCTCTGGCCTCAGCCTCCTAAGTAGCTGGGACCACAGGTATGCACCACCATGCCCAGCTAATTTTTTGAAAAAAATTTATGGGAGTGTCTCACTATGTTGCCCAGGCTGGTCTTGAACTCCTGTTCTCATGCAGTCCTCCCACCTTGGCCTCCCAAAGTGCTGGGATTACAGGTGTGAGCTATGGTACCTGCCTGCTTTCAATTTTTTAAGGGATTGCTGTTTTGGGGGTTTGACTTAATTTTTTTTTTCCTTTTAATTACTAGAACCTTTTTGTTCCCTTATTTATTTCAGAATCAGATGCTGAGGCTACCCAGGAATTGGCAGCAGGACGGAGAAGGACAGTAGGGATATTGGATATGGGAGGAGCCTCTCTCCAAATTGCTTATGAAGTTCCTACCTCAACCTCTGCCCTTCCTGCAAATCAGGTATTTTACCTTTTAGGGAAATAATAGCTAGGAATGTGGGACTTAGAACAACTTGCCTGGCTCTAAATGTTTATTCAGATACTTGCTAGTTATCTTGAGTGGGTTACCTGAGTCTCAGCTTCCTTGCGTGAAAAAGAGAAAATAATAGTATCTACTTCATAAAGTTGTGAGGATGAAATAATACCATGTTTGTAAAGCATTTAGCAAACTGCCCAGCATGCAATAAGTATTTGATACATTTTAACAGTTACACAGGCTTTAAGGTAGCTTTAAATTGCTGCTGTGCTGGGAACTCGCACCTTTTGGCTGGAGTCGGGCTCTGTGGTGCCGAATGGCTCTGGATGTGAAGTCTCGGGCGAAGGGCTATGAGAAGCTGGACTTCCTTGGGGAGGGACAGTTTACAAGGCCAGAGATAAGAATACCAACCAAATGGTCGCCATTAAGAAAATCAAACTTGACCGGGCGCGGTGGCTCACGCCTGTAATCCCAGCACTTTGGGAGGCCGAGGCAGGTGGATCACGAGGTCGAGAGATCGAGACCATCCTGGTCAACATGGTGAAACCCCGTCTCTACTAAAAATACAAAAAATTAGCTGGGCATGGTGGCACGTGCCTGTAATCCCAGCTACTCAGGAGGCTGAGGCAGGAGAATTGCCTGAACCCAGGAGGCAGAGGTTGCAGTGAGCCGAGATCGCGCCATTGCACTCCAGCCTGGGTAACAAGAGCAAAACTCCGTCTCAAAAAAAAAAAAAAAAAAAGAAAATCAAACTTGGACATAGATCAGAAGCTAAAGATGGTATAAATAGAACAGCCTTAAGAGAGATAAAATTATTACAGGAGCTAAGTCATCCAAATATAATTGGTCTCCTTGGTGCTTTTGGACATAAATTTAATATTAGCCTTGTCTTTGATTTTATGGAAACTGATCTAGAGGTTATAATAAAGGATAATAGTCTTGTGCTGATACCATCACACATCAAAGCCTACATGCTGATGACTCTTCAAGGATTAGAATATTTACATCAACAGTGGATCCTACACAGGGATCTGAAACCAAACAACCTGTTGCTAGATGAAAATGGAGTTCTAAAACTGGCAGATTTTGGCCTGGCCAAATCATTTGGGAGCCCCAATAGAGCTTATACATATCAGGTTGTAACCAGGTGGTATCGGGCCCCTGAATTACTATTTGGAGCTAGAATGTATGGTATGTGTGTAGACATGTGGGCCGTTGGCTGTATATTAGCAGAGTTACTTCTAAGGATTCCTTTTTTGCCGGGAGATTCAGACCTTGATCAGCTAATGAGAATATTTGAAACTTTGGGCACACCAACTGAGGAACAGTGGCTGGACATGTGTAGTCTTCCAGATTGTGTGACATTTAAGAGTTTTCCTGGAATTCCATTGCATCATATCTTCAGTACAGCAGTAGATGACTTACTAGATCTCATACAAGGCTTATTCTTATTTAATCCATGTGCTCGAATTACGGCCACAGAGGCACTGAAAATGAAGTATTTCAGAATTGCCAGGGCCAACATCTGGATGTCAGCTGCCAACACCAAATTGTCCAGTGGAAACCTTAAAGGAGCAATCAAATCCGGCTTTGGCAACAAAAAGAAAAAGAACAGATGCCTTGGAACAAAGAGGATTGCCCAAAAAACTGATTTTTTTAAACAGAACACTAGCCAACATTTTACTACTGAAAGAAAGAGTCAAAAAGGCAAATAATAGAAAAATAGTAAACATTAAAAAAAAAAAAAACAACAGTTACAATTGTACTAGGTATCTCCTGCCATTGCCTGAGGATAAACATAATAATGCATTTAAATTCTGGAGCACAATATTTGATACATATCTATTGTTCAATAAATGTGAATCTCTTTCCGCTTACTGATGATTCCATTCTAGGGCTTCTAATAACCTTTACCCCACTAGAATGTAAAGAATGTATTTTGAGGAAGAAGCTTCATCCTAGATAAGACACTTTTTGTACACCTACTGTGTGCATCTATTATGTACACCTATTATGTGCAAGGAATAGAGAATATTATGTAAAGGAATAAACATGTTAGTTACACTGTCCCTAAAAAGTTATAATTTATGTGTCAGTGGAGACAGCTTGTGGTATCAGGCAGACCATAGCAGTGCTCAACTTGAACTAAACCAGGGCTTCTTATCCTTGGCAATATTGACATTTTGGGTCAGATAATTCTTTGTTGTCAGGGGTTATTCCATGTATCATATGATATCTCTTGTCTCTACCAGATGTCAGGAACAACCATCCCCCTTCCAGCTGTGACAATAAAAAGTGTCTCCAGACATTGCCAGATGTGTGAGGCAGGGTGGAAATTGCCCATAATTGAGACCATCTGTTTTAAATAGTGCTTGGGCAGTGTGGGGACTGGCGGGGCCAACTCGGTTTGCAAAGTTGAATGGGAGCCATTGTGGCTTCATGAAAGGTAAAGTATTTACCTGGGCCTTGGATAAGAGTAGGCTTTTGCATAGTGGAGATCACACCACTGAACTCAGCCTGGGTGACAGAGTGAGACCCCATCTCAAAAAAAAAAAAAAAATTACATGTAGCAATATAATGGCTCTTCAAGATGAATCTTAGTCCTTGGTAAAAGTGAATGAAACTGAGATAATGTGGTAGCATTTAAAAATTTTTAAATAATCCTAAATGGCTAATACCTTTTTTTGTACAACTCACAAAGTTATTTACATTCATAAAGTTGTGCAACTATCACTATTGAATTCCAGAACATTTTCATCACCCCCAAAAGAAACCCTATATTCACTCCCCACTCACTTACCATTAGCAGTCACCCATCACTCTCTCTTCTCCCGACCCCTGACAACTATTAATCTACTTTCTCTCTCCAGTGGATTTGCCTATTCTGGACATTTTGTATAAATGAAATCATACAATATGTGGTGTTTTACATCTGGCTGCTTTTATTTAGCAAAATGTTTTCAAGTTTCATCAATCTTGTGGTATGAGTATTTCATTCCTTTTTATGGCTGAATAACATTCCATCGTATGACCAACCATGCCATATTTTGTTTATCCATTTATCAGCTGATGAACATTAAAGTGGTTTCCCTTTTTGGCTATAATGCACAATACTTCTGTGAACATTCATGTACACATTTTTATATGCACATAAGGTTTTTTTTTTTTTTTTTTTTTTTTTTTTGAGATGGGTTTTGCTCTTGTCACCTAGTCTGGAGTGCCATGGGCTGACTTTGGCTCACTGCAACGTCTGCCTCCTAGGTTCAATCAGTTCTCCTGCCTCGGCCTCCTGAGCATCTGGGATTACAGGAACCCACCACCATGCCTGGCTAATTTTTGTATTTTTAGTAGAGATGGGGTTTCACCATGTTGGCCAGGCTGTTCCCAAACTCCTGACTTCAAGTGATCCACCCGACTTGGCCTCCCAAAGTGCTGGGATTACAGGTGTGAGCCACCATGCCTGGCCCAGTTTTTGGATCTCTTGTTACATACTTTGGAGTGAAATTGCAGGGCACAATGACGTTTTCACAAATTAAAAATAAATTCAAAACAAGAATCTTCATTTTATAACAATACATATATACAATAATTATACATAAACACATTACAATTGTTGCCTATGGCAGAGAGTGGGAATGAGAATAAGTATGACGATAAAAGGGAATAAATAAAGCAAAAGGGAGCCCTTGCCATGATAAATGTGACATGAGCTGAGGAATATAATTAATTCAGCCTCTGCCCTTGGGGTTCAAGAAAAAGATATAACACATTTTCATTGGAGGTACAATGAAATGGAACTTTCCCAATCCCCAGACCTGTCACAAGGAACCTTAGGGCTTCTTGGATAATTTTAGAAAACGTCACAGAACCGGGCGTGATGCTTCACATCTGTAATCCTGGCACTTTGGGAGGCTGAGGTGGGCGGATCACGAAGTTGAGAGATTCAGATCATCCTAACCAACATGATGAAACCTCATCTCTACTAAAAATACAAAAATTAGCTGAGTGTGGTGGTATGCGCCTGTAGTCCTAGCTATTCAGGAGGCTGAGGCAAGAGAATCGCTTGAACCCAGGAGGCAGAGGTTGCAGTGGCCTTAGATCACACCACTGCACTCCTGACTGGCAACAGAGTGAAACACTATCTCAAAAAGAAAAGAAGAGGCCATAGAATAGATCTGATAATGATCCACAGAATTCCTTAAATTTATTTTTATTGAAGGATTTTTTTTTCTATTTATTAAAATAAATTCCCATTGTGGGGAATTGGAAAATACAGAAAAATACATGTAAGAAAATGGTATCTGTAGTAATTCTACCTCCTATGTAACTACAGATACCGTTTTGGTCTCTAATTTTATATTTAGTTTTTAATTTAGTGTGTAATTTGTACCTTTTGGTGCAGTCTTGCCATTTTGTGTCTTTGTTTAAAATAATGCCATGAGGATGAATGAATGCTTAAGATATTTTAAAGAGTAGTCATAGAAATGAAGCCTGGTATATTAGCAATGTCATAGCTTTCTAGAAAGCAACCAAAACTAAAATTCTCTTTTTTCTCTTGGTGTCATATTACAGGAAGAAGCTGCCAAGATCCTGCTGGCTGAGTTCAACCTGGGTTGTGATGTGCAGCACACTGAACATGTGTACAGGGTTTACGTCACAACTTTTTTGGGTTTCGGAGGCAACTTTGCCCGGCAGCGCTATGAAGACCTTGTTCTGAATGACACTCTTAACAAAAACAGGTACATTTGACATGGAGTCTGAGTTTCTGAAATACAGTGTCCAGCTGCAGATATTAGGAAAAAATATTCACATCCTCCTAAGATAAGTCCTTGCTTCCTCCTCCTTTCTGACCACCCCTGCCAGTGGGGTAGCATCTCTTAAAGACCTCATCTGGTCTGGGTGAGGGTACATTCTGAGCTTTATTAGGACTCATAAAGTGCGGCAGCTTATTGTGATCTCTTGCTGTTTCCCATATTCAGACCTGGCATCACAGGATAAGGGAGATGAATTAAATTGCCAATTTAAAATGTGCAATATATAGTGTAGCTGCTAACAGTTCCTTCTGCATGGAAGTGTTCATGACATGTTTGTTGAATTACAGTGCAGTTGCATCTTTTGTGGGAGTTCAGTTCTGTAGTATGTCCAAAAGATAAAAAGCATCTGTAGTTAAAATTAACTTTTAAAATGGTCTCGTCAGATTCAGAATAGTCCGTTTTTCCTTTAGGATTGGACAGATCACAGATTCTTCATTTGAGTACCAGATGAAGTAAAGTAGTTAGACCCATAATATACAAACATGGGGGTTTCTTTCTTTCTTTCTTTTTTTTTTTTTTTAAGTATGTAAAATTATTTTATCATTATGCACATTAAAGGAAAGCATAAGAGAAAGCAGAGTTCTTTTCCACCACAAAATTTACACAGAATTTTGGCGTGAAAAAACAGTGTAATTGGGTGGATAGATTGTGGTAGTGTAGCTAGGGAAGGGAGGATGGCCAGCAGTGCTGAGAGTCTAGCCTAGATAACCAGAAGGGTGAGGAACTCAATCACTGAGAGGACCACAGGTGAAAGGCCAGGGCTGATATTAAGCAAACTACACACTTACCTACGTACACTTAACCATTTAGCTAGAAACACTAGCTTGAAGAGATACTGGTATATCCCATTTGTAATAATTTATCCACAGCAATCAATTGTCTTATATTTACAGCATGTTGAAGAAAATATTGTCCCATAAGTCTTTTTTGTTTTTCTAAGTCTTAGTCTCTAGGAGTTCAAGGTGCTTTGGGAGAATCCTGGTGCCCTGGATGATTGACAAATGCATTAAAATCAAGTGGTGTGTTTGTATTCTGACAGTACTCCTAAGTCTGTACAAACATTGCTTGGGTTGAGGTGCTCAGATGTCTCCTGCAGCCACTGTGATGTTTGAAGAACATTTGTGAAAGTTTCACACCAGTTTTGGTTTTCCTCCTTTATTAGCTGCTGTGCTGCTTTTCTATTTTCTTCCTTTGTTATTCTGCTGCTCTTTTTTCTGTCTGTTTTCTTCTGCCCCCAAACTACTTCTTGCCAGACTGCATCTTCTTCTTCCCATGCACTGGTATTTTCTTGCCAAGTAGCTAAGTTACCTACTTCACGTGAGTGATGAATAAAAGGCATATCTTGTGCAACTGCCAGTCTACTAAAGAAACCTGTTTCCTGGAATGGTAAAACGATCATTCTCTCTTCTCAATAACTTTTCTGAGTTTTCCTTACAGTTGGTGTCACATCCTTAAAATACTTGGTTCCAGTTGTTCTAAGGCGTACTACTGTACTCGCCTTCAGTCTTTACACTTGCGGGTGCATCCTCATTCTGAGAATCCACTCTTCAATATCTGTTTAGGAACTGATAATTAACTGCAATTGGCAAAGTTATTTGGAGCCCAACTTAATTTCCGTCCTTGACCAGATCTTCATAGTAATCTTTTTGAGGAATGAGAATATGGTTGCTAGGCAAGTATAAACTCGAAATAACTGGAACTGTGTTATGGCCATGGTGGGAATTAAAGCTTTCTGCTCTTCTCCCAGCTTAGAGGCTCCAAGTGGCTTCCTGCAGCTGGTGCTGTGCCTATTCTGTTCCAGCATTGCTGATTCAGAGGCAGGCATGGGCTCCATCACCATTGCCAGCCATTGCAGATGCGCCACTGCCATGGTCCACTCCTCAGGAATCTCTCCCCACAGCCCTTCCCACCTCACCCGCTACCATGAAGCAAACATCACACTTACCTATGTACACTTAACCATTTAGCTGAAACACTAGCTTGAAGAGGTATTGTTATATCCCATGTCTAATAATTTATCCACAGCAATCAATTGTCTTATATTTGCAGCATGTTGAAGAAACTACTGTCCCAAAAGTATTTTTTGTTTT